TATGTTTTAATGAGACATTCTCATGCTTTCTTTGTGTGTATCATTATAGGCCTTTTGTGTCCTCACTTTTATAAGAGCTTTCAAGTTAAACAAATTGATTATATGACTTTTCTTGTAGGTTCATTATAACAAATAATGGATCTGGTCACAATGTATCTGGCTTGAGGTAAGGAAACATGTAAACTTAAGTGGAAAAATATCTCATTGCCTCTCTTTTCTCTTTTGGGCGGTTGTCCCACTTTGTAGTATTTCCTTCTAGTCTTTATGTGATTTGTACCTCAAGAAAACTGAAAAACAACCAGCCACCTCTCTCTCCGTGCACTTGGTGCCAAGGTTTACTTCATCTTCATACAAAAATGCTGTAGTGCCCAATCTGTTTTACTTATCCAGTGGGTGGTTTTTGCACTACCTGTCTCAAATAAATGTGCATAATTCAATTTAGTGAGATCTGTGTATGATCCTAGTCTCTGTTATCTTCTTTTCTTATCAGATACAAGGAGTATCAACTTAAAGACTATAGTTCATGGTTTCTAAAGCAGGTGAGGCTTTCAATTTGCTGGCAATGTAGTTCCCCACTTTGTTTAGCGATGATTAGCATTTGCTTTGTTTTTGTCAGCTGAACAATACCAATAATTGGAAGCGCTTGAAGAGTTGTCTTGTGAAATCACAGGACTGCAGCAACCTAGCAAAGCAATACAAGGTCTACCTTTTAACTCGTGAGTGCTATTTTTTTCTGTGACATCTATTCTAATATTTTCAACTCTGATTTTCAGACTCTTAAGCAGTATAAAATGGCAAAACTGACGCCTATTGAAGCTGGTTGCTGCCGACCTCCATCCGAGTAGGTGTCTTTTCTTTTTGATTTTTGGTTGGGTTGGCTCTTTGCAGTTGCACCTATATTTAATCATGGTCTATACAGCTTCATTTATTCATTTAATGAATTACTTTTCTTGACATTCAACTTGATTCACAGATGTGGTTATCCTGTTGTTAATGCTTCATACTACGACTTGAGTTTTCATCCAATTAGTTCCAAAAATGACTGCAAGCTTTACAAAAATTCTCGGGCTGTGAAGTGCTACAATTGTGACTCTTGCAAGTAAGCATTTTGATTTTCCCATGGTCCGTAACTTCCATTTCCTTTATGGTATAAATTTCTTACTGCCATTTGCTTTCCTCCAATCAACTTTTCAGGGCTGGAGTTGCACAGTACATGAAAACTGAGTGGAGAGTTGTTGCAATCTTTAATTTGGCACTATTTGTTGTCTTGGTAAGGTTCTGTTTACCAATTTCTGACCATCTTCATATTCTTTTTTCCTGCTTAAACCTTCCATGGATTTCAGTCTCAAAATTTTGTTTCATCACTTATCGTGTCGAGGCTAACTCTTATACCATGTTTCGCAATGCCAGTTGATTATATGCTTTGTGGGATGCTGTGCAAGACGAAATGCTGCTCAGAGCCAGTCTAAAGTTTGAAAAGGGTTGGACCTATGTTCAGTTCCTTTCTTTGGTTAGTGAAATCAAGTACCATCCTTTAAGATTCTTCTCTTTGTTATTCAACTGATTTCTCTTGTTATTATTACTTCATTGAAGGTTGATGGAGGAATGAAGAAGCCTGATTTGATGGGGTTGGAGGTTTACAGGTTAGGCTTATACACAAGCCTAAGGTTGAATCATGTAAAAATGTTTGTTCTGACACAATGGTAAAAATTCATGCAAGGGGTAAAACAACTACGAGTAATGTGTCAGGTTGTATAATTTAATTTAATGATTCCAGATTGAACCCAATTTGTTGGGCTTTAACGTGGTTTGTTGGGCCTCCTTTACCAGATGTTTAAAAGCCCAGACCCGAACTCAACAATGCTTAATTCGTGCAAAAGCAGCCTGTTTTATACTCCAATTAAAATCGATCTTAAACTTTTTTGAGAGATTTCTAACTTTTATTGATTAATAAAACTTTAAGCGGTTCGTATGCTTGAATTTCTAATTATTTATAACAAGTTAAAATGCAGTGAAGGATCTTTAATCCTTAGATTGCTCTCCTGTAGAAAGTGTATTCGTATAAACGACGTAGTTTTACGTGGAAAATAATAGAAAGAGCCGGTGCTGATGGATGGTGTATTCGTCTGAAATTTGCTTTACGGGTTGAAGTTATGCAACAGGAGACAACACGACGTCGTTCGTGCGTTAGTCAAACTTAGAAACACCCTCTTAAAAACCCCGGCAAGTTTCCCATTTCTCCTTAAACCCTAAACCCCACAATGTTCTCAACGGTCCTCCTCCAGCGCTCTAAAACCCTCTCGGATCTCCTCCGATCCCGTATTTTGACTCGACCCATGGGTGGTGGTCCTCGGACCTTCCCCGGCGGCCTAAATAAGTGGCAATGGAAGCGCCTTCATGAGAAAAAAGCCAAGGAGAAAGAGAGAAGACTCCTCGACCAAGAGAAGCAACTTTACCAGGCCAGAATCCGGTCCCAAGTCCGGGCCAAACTAGCCGGGAAGCCCGACTCGAGTTCAAATCCAACGAAATATAACCCCATGAGCCCCAAAGACCACGTCAAAGCCCTAGCTGATCGGTTCATGAAAGAAGGGGCGGTGGATTTGTGGAACGAAAACGACGGTCCATTGAAATCACAGGAACAGGAACGGCCACGAATCATTGAAACAACAAGAAATCAACGGTCAGGGTTAATCCATTCACCGCTTGACTTGAAGAAACTGATATCTGATAATCGTATGCAAAATGCAAAATTCAGTGTTGTAAATAATAGTCATTTTGGCAAGAGTAGGAGTTATTCAGTTCAGAGTAAAGGGAAATTTAGGGTAAATGAGAGTTCTTTTGGCAGGATTCCGTTAGACTTGGATTCAAAGGATGATTCTTTGAAGCATTCGGGGCGTATATAGAGCAGAGGAGGTTTAAGAAGAAGGAGAGTTCTGCTAGTCAGCGTGAATCTGATTTTGTTTCGAATGATAATTCGATGAAGCGTGTTCATCGGGGTGGGCTTGGTGGAACGCCGGGAATGAGAGTTCGAGGAATTTTAGGAAGTTTAGAAAGAGTGGTAAAGGTTTGGAGAGGAGGGGGTTAGCAGGAATGAGAGTTCATCTAGTGATGATGAATGGGATTCAGATTTAGATGATGGAGTGGAAGGAGTGGGGGGTTGGAGGGATGTTAGGAAGTTGGGGAGTAGTGCTTCTTTGGGGAAGTATGATGTGAAGATAACAAAGAGAGTGCCACTAAAGGAACTTGAGAAGGACATTGATTTTTCGGAGCAAGTGGAGTTGCTTAGGAAGGAGTTGGATAAGAAGAAGTTGGCTGAAAATGATGAGAAGAGGGGGGAGGGAGAAACTATTTATAGTCAAAAAAGGAAGCCAAGATGTTTGGTTGGTATTTCTTTTGTTCTGGTGAGAGAATTCGAATTATAGATGTATGTATTGTTGGTTTTGGTGATGAGAAAATTGATGACTCTGTGGGTTTTTGTTTCTACAGATTTGATGAGTGTGGTATATCCTCATTGACAATCAAGGCACTCTCTGCAGCTGGATATTTTAAGATGACTCGAGTACAGGAGGCAACTCTTTCTGTTTGCCTTGAGGGTGT